GAAGGCGCGTCCCCCTCAGCCCTGACTGACTGACAGACGGTGCGCGCCGCGGCGTTCTCTCACAGCTCCCTCTGGCGGCCGGGCCTCAGGGCTGTCCGCCGACGCAGTCACCGGGGCAGCCCTGCTGCTCTGGGGCCAGACGCCCTCGGGTTCTGACTACCTGAGGCCCCTTTCCTCAACCCGAACCCGCCACGCTAATGTGTGTCGTGAATCAGTTGGGAGTCTAACTCAGTGGATAGTTCCTCCAAAGTGAGGATGTGAGATCTGAGAAACGAGGGAATGGACTGAAACGTTTGGAATCGGGCATCTTTTCAGAAATTCTCCTTAGGGTTGCCCTGTCTTTGAGTGTCAGGAAGAGCAACTCACCATTCTGCAGATGAGAAAACAGACCTAGAGGGGTTAGGGGACATCTGTCTCCTCACGCTACCTGGAAGACCGCTTCTCGCGGCAGACCTAGAATAGCTGATGTCCTGAAGGAAGCCAGGACTGCAGTGCTCTGCCTTCCTGATTAGCCTTCAGCAGCCTAGCAAAGGCCAGAGTGAGGAAGGGTGTCCCGGAAAGAAGGGAAGGGACCTCCATTGAGGTACTCGACCTTAACTGCTTTTACTCTGAGGATACTGGCGAGATGTCTGGCCACCCTGGCAAGCCCACTGGGTGGATGGTTTCCTTAGTCCCACCTTGAACCGAGGCAGGAAAAAAGAAACCCCAAAGATGGAAACACGTTTTATTTGCAAAAGAGACTACTAGAGTAGGGAGGCAGGCCTGAGGAGCACTGCTCTTGTGGGCAAGGAAGGGTGAGACTACATTGTGCGATTAGGCTGTCCCTAGGGTTTCTATAAGTTGCCTGCCCACTCGAAGACATCTCCCAACCGTTCTGAAAGTGGGGAACCCAGAAGACAGGAAGGCCACAGAGTGAAGAGGGCTCAAAGATGCCAGCATCCATACCACGACTTCATACTCAGGCTCACAGTTGCCTATAGAACTCGACAGTTTGCTGAATTTTCGTTTTTCCTTAGAAGAGCCCTCACTCTGTCCCAGTCCGAAAGGTACCCTACTTGTGAACCTTTAGTTATTAAACAGCGCCCTTCTCCCAGCTCAGACACATTCTGGCCCCAGAGATCTCTGAGTCCACACACGATGCCTGGGGTGGGCAACCTGGACCAAGTTGGCAGGCGGGAATTGGGCCAAGGCTGAGGCAACCGGAAGAAAGGAGTACTGGATTAAGGCACAGGCCAAAGCCCGGCTCTACTGGGCAGGAGGCCTAGAAGTTCTCGTAATGGTGAGAGAAATGAGTCCGGTCCTGCCTGTTGATGAGCTGACAGGCTTTCTCCACATTCTTGGTCATGCCAGGGGGTCCGCAGCTAAAAACTCCAATCTTTCGAACCTGTTGCAGGAGGAAAAGCCAAAGGCGAACGAGTTTACTGCCAGAGATAGGTCAGAAAAAGAGCAAGGTTTATGTTTAAGGTATAGGCTAGCTCTCTGGCGCTGTTAAAAACCATTCAGTGTTTGTTCCCACTGAAGGTGTATTTTGTACCATGCATGAGGAGGGCTGGCTCATTGTAAGTGTAGCTCACTTTTGTGCTAAGTCACTGTAAAAAGGCCAACTTAATCAGTGCTCAAATTGAGGGGCAGCTTGTTGTATATGAGACCTGCGGCCAGCCCACTCACTGTTCATGGTGAAAATTAGTTCCATCTGGGGACAGGGTAGTCCTGCGTGCATAGTAAGGAATATTTCTATTACTGAGCTCTTCTGTTTGGTGGATGAATTTAGGCATCACAGTTGGTAAATTTCTATTCTCTTCCTCACCACCTTAGGGTGACCCTCCACCTGTGCTGTTCCAGTCTGTAACCCACCAATCTCCCGAGGGATAGGTTCTCAGCAGTGACCTTTCCCTGAAAAAGCGGGTTGGAGAGCTTTGCTCAGACCCCAGGTGATAAAAGGACATGAGAGCTGAGATGTGGGGTGGACTCACCTGGGGGTGGACTTCCTGCAGAGAGTTGAAGAAAGGCTCGAAGGGAGGGCGGCCAAAGTGGGTGACAGAGCGCAGGCCCGTGAACAGACTCCGGTTCAGCACCTTCTGGAAGTGCCGCTCACAGATGTACTGGGGAAGGAAGTGGGGAGAGGATCACAGCCAGCCCTGGCTGGGGCCAACTCAGGCCCTGGCAGTGTCCCACCTGCCCTGCCTACCAGCATGGTGGTCCTGAGGTCAAACTTCTCAGCCAGCTGGGTGATGTAGATGTGCACAGACACCAGGTCCTGGTGGTCGTTCTCCTCCACCTCCCGGATGATGTCAGCCAGCCACTCAAACTGCCTCTGAGTCCTCGTCACCCAGATGAAGTAGATCTGAGGGCACACGCTGGGGATCAGAGCCAGCTCGGGCCTGGCTCCCGACATGTCAGGGGTCTCCTGACCTAAGCCAGTGTGTGCCTGTTCTTAGACCACCTGGGAAATGGAACGGATGGGAAGTAGGACGAGGTTCTGAGGCCAGAGATGGGTTGCCCACGGATGGAGAGAGGTAGAACATGAGAGGCACCCTGGGGCCAGACCAAAAGAGCCTGCCTTCCTCAGCTGAGCTGAGGGTCTTCTGGATCAGAAGCAACTTCCGCAGGCCAAGCCCATCCCGACACTTCCATCAGTGGGTGCTGCTAGGGCAGGAGGCTAGCCACCTCTGAACAGCTGTCTAGAGGCAGAACTTTGACCTGAAGGGCATTTCATAGAGCAGCAGCCACCTTGGGGATCCCTAGCTGCCTGAGATGTGATGAAAGGCAGGCTCCCCCTGGCGAGGGGAAGGGGAGGAAAATTGGGGGGGGAGCCAACTTCAACTTTGAAGAGGAAAAGCCAGGTGCTATAGATGAAGGAACAGAGGAGATGCCACCCTTTGAGAGCTGACAGCATGTAGGCTGGGCCTCTCTGCCTGCTGCATTCCAGCACACCTGATTCACCTGCCAGACCCAGAGAGACAAGCAGGGGCCTGCCATTGGGTCCCAACTACAGAAAAAGGACCTGTGTGGAGGGGGCCTGAAGGCTTGGCTGTGCTGCTAGGGCCAACCCACCTGCAAGTCCTACCTTGGCACTTCCCCTCAACCCTGAGACCTGAGCCAGTTTTACTTGCGCCCCACCCCAAAGGTGCCCTTCCCTCTCCCTGCCAGCACTCCAAGGGCTGGCCTTTCCTGCATGAGGGAGTGCAGTTTCGTTGGTTGCTTGTTTTGTTTCACCTCCCTTCAGCCCTCCCTGGAAGGACTCCCACAAGCAACTCCTGTGTGGGGCACCCCATGGCTGAGTGAAGGAGTTCTTAGAAACTGGGTGGGTCCTACAGGCACCAGTGTACGGATTCTGCCTGTCAGGACAACCTGGCATCTTCCCGCATACCACCCCTCTAACTTGTTTTTTGCCTGGATGGTAGAGGCACAAACGGGCAGGCAGGAGATACAGGCCGTGCTGGGGGAACCGTGGGTTGGCACTCACCTTCTTACAGAACACTTGGCAGCTGACTGAGGACTTGAAAACCAGGTCTTTGAGAATGGAGGCAAAGGGGGTGACCCCAATTCCAGCTCCCACCAGCACTGACACCTCAAACTTATGCCACTCCTGGTGGCCCTCTCCAAACGGTCCGTCAAGGTACAGCTGTAGGGAGGGCAGTGGTTTTTTAAATTCAGCTTAGCCATCATTCTGAAACCAGAAATGGTGGTAGGAAAAGGGAGTTGTGGTGACACTGGGCAGAATACAGGGTGGGGTTGGGTCTGTGATGTTCTCTGGGACAACCAGTCTCCGGATTCAGTGAGGGAGCAGTGCAGTAGGGAGCCTGGTGATGCTGGGGGGGGGGCATAGAGAAGTGTGGAGATATCGGGCCTGAAGTCTGGGCACCTTTGGGTATCTGGCACAGGTGCCACCAGTCGGAGGTGAGTAGATCTCCCTGAGGCGAGTGGTCCAGGGTCCAGCTGCCCGGATGTGCAGGCTGAGTGTGTCCTCGTGCGGGGCAGAGGTCAGTGTGAAGGGGTGGTACTCAGTGGTTCCCAGGGCCAGGCAGGCGATCCGCACCCACTGCCCTGACTTATACTCAAAGCCCTGGGGCCTCTGGAACCGGAGGTGGGTCACTCCTGGGAAGGGATGATGCGGGAGACTGTTGCCTTGAACTCAAAAACAGTATGGCCCCCAGAGAGTTCCTCCAATTCCAGCCTCAGCTCTGATGACAAGGCAGACATTCCCACACTAGAAGCCTGCCTTGAGGAGGAGCTGGGGGTGAACAGGGCAAGGCAAGGCGAAGCCTGGCCTGGGCTCCTCCACTCTCTGTCTTAAGAAGGGCCCAGTCCTCTGGCAAAGAATATTTGTCATCAGGTTACTCTTCCCAATGACCCCAGTCCCTTCCACCTCCACTGGGCCAGGCCAGTAGACTGGAGTGGTCCAGGCACTACTTGTGCCCTGTCAGTTGCCTTAGTAACCAAGCTGGTACCCTCACAATCTCCAGGCCTTACCTGAAGGCAGCAGCTCAGCCTTCACCACGCTGATCTCCACCTTCTTCCGGCTCAGGCTCACCAGCTTGTCCCCCACATAGATAATTGCCGGGACCAGGAAGAAGATGTGGAATCGGGGCATCTGGATCAGAGCAAAGCTGCCATGGATGATGAGCTGCAGAGTGAAGAATACAGCTCAGACGAGGTGGTACACACAACAAACTGCAGAGCCAGCTTGGCCTTAGACCCCATGGCCTAACCCACTGGTGTGTCCATTCCCCTCCACAGGTGAATCAATTCCTTCAAGGTTCTAAGACAATCACTCCTACATCCATCCCCAAAGCACTC